CTGTACGTTGAACTTTCACGCTCGTAGCTTTCACGCTGAACTTACAAGTGACACATCACAGCTTTCACGTTCCTCAGCATGGCAGAATTTCTACTATTTCACATGGCTTTATTACACTCTGGCTTTCGCAACTGTTGGCCAGCTGCATTAAGAAGTTCGTATTTTCTACTGTTCGAGAGGGTAGCTGAAAAAGAGAATCGAGGCTACTTGCTTCCGCTCAGACTCATTCACTGTAGGCACGTGAGGCAGATTTTTGACCGCTCTCATTAGTCCGTTTTTCGTCGCATGGAATTGAGGGAAACTCTCTTCCCATAAGCTTTTGTGAATCCCTAGAGGTGTCGCTTTGAGTACCTTGCAACCTGCGCATCACAGGGATTTTAATTCATATTCTCTGTTGTGCTTTGCTGGCAATATCGCATCGTGTACAAAGAAACTACCTAATTTGGCGGCTATCGCTCAGAGCTCCGGCATTTCGTCCTTTAGTTGCGCTCAATGCAAAAGCGATGTTCTAATTTAACGAAGGCATATGAATGATTATGTAGTCAGCATCGTCCGGCTGTTCCTCTTCTTATAGAAAATACCAAGTAATCCTGAATTTTCGAATCTCAGTGAACTGCTTTCGCTTCCCTCAGCAGGCTTCATCCGTCGTATGAGGCAGACAGGCGCTTTGCAGTATCCTGTGTCTGGCGTAAACATTGCCGGTGAAATGATGACTTTGAAAAATCATGATGACAGGAATTGATGGCATGGTGACAGTCATGAATTATTTATTTAAGTATAATATTTTGTCGTTGTTTAACTCCTCTGCGCAACTGCGCCATACCATTATTCAGGCCAGCGCCGCCATTAACATTTCATTCTTTACATGGAGGGGTACATGACAGGCGAGGAAAGGAGCAGTTTAAATTTGTGAAGCCACTGCATTTCCATCTGAGCCAATGTATTCACTGCTGCTTGTGCTCCGCATAGCCATTTCGATGTAAATTCGTGACTCGAAGGACCGAGCAAGAGAATTTTGATAGTTTGCTCGGTTACCAGCTGGTTTTTTCTAGAATGTAGCAAAATACTTCGGAAGCAAACTTCTGCTCACCTCGTATCGTCGTTCAGCACGAACAGCAAAATGGCAATGACCGCACCTGCTCTCATTTAATTGCCTTGCTCGACCGCAGAACAGAAAATCAGAATCATAAGTTCGATTGTTTCATGCGAAAACATTTGGCAAAAGTTTCACAAAATCAATCCTATGACATGCAACATGGCGCATAACCCCTCCGGGACCATATTTCATGAAGTATTGCACCTGTCCCTTGTTCGTACTTGTCTACGAAGGTCATTTAATTAAGCCATATTTCAATGGCGTTTCAGCACCTGCAGTGCCAGATGTATCTCGTGCCATTTTTCGCCTGTTGCAACGTAACTCGAAGCGTTTCCGAGTTTCCGCTGACAGGTTTTGATTTAATTACTTTAACTATCAGACTGAGTTCTACCAGAACACAAACACTGGCCTGAGTGCGAGTTTTAGAGTCGATAATTGGAGTACAGTAAGTTCCATCCGCTAAGGTTCAGGATTCCAGAGCCCTCGCGTTTCGTTGACAAGAGTTCGACTGTGTGCAGTTGCTACCTTGGGACATCGTCAACTAGACCCTGCTCTTTCTCTCTAAGTGAAGAGATGCTCGAATTTTCATGTGTCAACTTACTCATCGGTAGCACTTTCGCAGACAAGTCATAATGGAGTCGCGCTGTCTGCCTCCTAGGTTCAGAACAGGTAGCGAGTCGGTTGCTGACTCGCATCTTCATGATCTTCATGACCGGAACTCAGATGTCTTATTCTGAAGAGTGACATGCCGAAATAATATTAATGGCCTTTGATAAATCATGCTTTAATATCACTAATTATTTTAATACTAATGGTCCACGCGACAGACGGCTGAAATAAAAGTTGCACTATTTGTACATGTAACCAATTATACTGTAATGTCAGACAAGTCATGCGAAAAAAACATGCGCAACGAGAATCTGATAGCAAGCTGTAATTGTGCCAGACGTCATGCCGTAAATAACTGAGCTTCCGTCGTATTACACAAAAAAATCTGTATTGTAAATCAACCGAGATGAGGAAAGTTCGAATTCGAACATAGTCACATTTAAACAGGCCACTCTGCGAATAACATTTGTTCAGCATATGAAACGCAAACAAAGTGAATATGGCCGTTTAATTTAAATTAGGTCGGGAAATGTGTGAAAAGTTGACTTTGTGTCTGGATGCTTTCCGTGCCACTGCTTGATCTGTGGCAGCGCTGCGAACTTGGCCTGAATTGCGTCAGATGTCTGTATGGACCGAAGTCTATCTTCATCCAGTTTCTGAATAAGTCCAAAGAGTTGTAAAGGAAAAAATCGGCCCAGCAGATCTAAACAAACAACATTATTATCGTTACCAGTCAGAGAGTTCATGCAATGCGTCCATCAAAACGCTAACAGTAAAAAGTAAGCAGTACATGCGTGAACAACACTAATGGCAACTTTTGAAAATGGCCTCATTTTTAGTTCAGCGAGGATCATACTGAGCCACCTGCATGTCAGGGACAGGAAGATACTGAGAAACAGGGTCAGAACCCTGTTGCTTGGGATAGAAGTAAATTCTTCGAATATGAAATATTTGTTTCACTCGGCACCTAGTTGGCTAAGCTTAGCCTCCGGCTGCTGTTGACAAAATACGCTCTACATGCGAGAACATAAAATAAACAAAATGTTATAAATAGCACGTAGTTCATGGCAAGGTCGAATCATAGACCCAAAATTTCTTTATGATATCTTGGAACCGTTTGCTAGCGATAAGGGACTTAGCTTCAACTAGAAGGTTTGCCGAATTTTACAGTAAAGTGAATCGCTGATAAGATAAATAAACAATAGGCACGTAACACGCTGTGCAAATTTGCAGGTGTGACGGAGGTTGTGATTGCCTGTAATAACGAAAATTAAGCAACTGGATATGAAGGAGAATAAGGAATCAATAATTACTTGTGCATAGAAAGCAAGGCAAGTACAAAAGGCTAGTGATTTTGGTAGACGAAGACTCACAGTATAAGACAAAGTCCTTGACTGCAAAGTGTATAGAAATAACGCAGGTTGATGCTCAGCTAAAGTTCATTCGTAATAAGAATAACAATTCATATGAAGGAAGCGACGAAAACTGAAAACTCTAAAAAAAGTAGATGATTGACAACCCGAGATGTAACGTTGCTGAAATATTAAATAAACTATATGTTTAATGAACTTGTTGCATGCCAATAATCAGGTATATTTGTGAAATAACGAAAACAGATATTTCTTATGCTAGTGTAAACGTATGTATGCCATGACGGATGTTTTCAGCTGTTCAGAACTCTGACGGCAGTACTTAAATTTTGATGATGCTATTAGACTAAATTTCACGTATTTTGGTCTCTCCTTTGTGAAAAAGGTTATGTTTTTTCTTTCGCAAATGTTATCACTCTGGCATCGGTCCATCTTATGTGTCCTTGTTTCACAGACGAGGCTCTTTTACCATTTGGTTGGCTGGTAAAAAGAAAAATATTCATGTGCGACCTTCTAGAAGCAATATGGACGACGGTCCATTTTCTTCTGTCAAGAAATGGGAACGATACAAAACGAAAAGTATCAATGCAAATCTGGTTAAATTAGCATATTGAGGAAATTGGGTTCGGTCAGAGTTTTCATGTTATTTGAATGTGATTCCCATTCTCGTTGAGGGCAAAAAACTAGGTATGCGCGACACTCTGTATCTGTATCAGTCTTAAGGCTAGAAAATGAAGACTTAAATTGTCGTAATTTTATTCATCAGAAATGAAATGAAATTTGAAAATTACTATTCCGTTGTCGCAAGATGATTCGCAAGTCGACAATTTATGCACACCATCGAATGTCACTGCGTGCGTTCTTCACAATCATTCTGATCTGTGACATTAATTACTATTCAGCTGCTAGTTTTGCATGGTATCCCAACAGAGGCCTTCGATAGTCAGCTTAAGTTACCGAAAAGAACACAACGATTGCGACAAGACTTCTAGCGGCGAGGTCTGCCTAAAATGAGTCACTTTAGAAGTAGACTAGCTAAGTTTCAGTCCTGAAGAATAATATCAATACCAAAATGGAGGTAGCTCAGAAGCAAATATTTCATCAGATAATTATATTTCACCACTGTTGTTGTTGAGTTATTATTATAGTCAAAGACCGGTAGAGGTTAAAGTTGAACAGGAGAATACCTTGCATTTATTATGTCAGATTTCTATAAATGGTATCCCAGATTGACTTTGTGCAGTCTTCACTGCTGTGGCAAAATGCATATTCCCTTTCGTTAGCAGCAAAGCTGCCACGATGCGCTTACATGTTCTGCATTGTTCGCTCTCGCGCCCACGGTCAGTTCGAGGTTCCCAAGTTTTGATTATATTTCCATTTTCATTTTTGGCTGTTTCACCAAAACAAGCCAGATACCGGTCTCTGAGTTCGTCTGATAGTTTCCTCATATCGGTGTCGTCAGTACCTGATCGTTCGTCACCCCGTGATACCATCTCTATTTGAGGATGCTACGCAGACATCACTGTTGGAAGAAGTCTCAGCAAGTTTCATTGCTCTTCAGGATGGCAGATAATTCGAGACTGTACATGAACACCGCGCAAAAGGCTGCTTTCAGAACGGTGATCTTGGTGTCCGTTTTTATGGTTCGATCTTTCATAGGCCATGCAGCTTACCGAAATTCGCGTATGCCAGTCCGATCCGCCAATTCACTTCAGGAACGATGCCACCATTGTGAGTCAACGCATTTCTGAAGTATTTGAGATATTCCATCTCTTCCTGCGTAATAACATTCCACAATTTGCTTGGACAGTTGGTCGCGACTGGCGTTCACATAATCTTCGCCTTTCTGGCGTTTTCTTGTACCTGTGTTGCACACTCTTTCAGTGAGTGCCAGTAGGTTACTTGTAGAGTCACTCAGCAGGACGATGTCACCGGCCTTCCGAAGGGCCGTTAGGAATCAGCAGATAAGTATTTATCTGCAATTATATCTGCCAGTAGACGAATGACGCTGGTCAGTCACAATATTTCGATCAATTGTTGCCTAGTCTCATTGTCATCAGCGGCGTTGGGAGTTTAAATTTATATTTACATTCACAACGAAAGAACTTCGATGACATGCAACCAGATGAATTAAGATATATGGAAAGGTTTTTCGGCAAATAAATTAATATAATAGTGCCGTAAGTGGTATTGCAGTTAATTAAATGTTATTAAATAGCTTTGCTTGTAAACGTAACTGAGCATTGCAGGCAACAGTGATGGAACTTTCGCTGTTGTCATGTTTACCTGATCATTGCCGAAGTATCCGGACTTGCTTTGAGTCAAATACTCGTCGTACTTCTTCAGACGAGGTTGAATCATGTCTTTGACTAC